AGTCTTGCACTGATTGTAAGTATTTATTATATGCCCAAACTATTATAATTAGATATATGTTTTCTCTCGATATATTGTAAGTAACGCGATGAATTTTTATAAGATCATTTAGCACAGTAAATTTCAATGTGTGCCCCTTTGGTAGCTCGGAGATTGTCTGAATGTCTATAAGTTGTATTCCAGTTTTTACCCGCCAAGTATACTTTAATACCAGATGTGACACAAAAAACGAGACAGGTCCAGTAGATCATTGTATTTACAGAATCAGTTCTCCGTGACAGTATCACCTTCAAAGTAGTTCCCTTCAGCATTCACACCCTTCTGCATTCGGTGCTGCCACTGCTGTAACAATTCTGGAACGAGGTTTTTGCAAATCCCTTTAGGAGATTCTCCGTTTTTGCCTGGACCTCTTCAACTGAGGTAAAATGGATTCCCTTTCAGAAACATTTAACTGTAGGAAATAAAACAAAAGTCGTATGAGACCAAATCAGGGGAATAAAGATGATTACCCGTCAAAGTTATGTTTTTACAGGTCAGAAACAGCTTGACAGATAGGGCCCTGTGAGCGGATGCAAAAGCGATCTATCCAAAATTCTACCCTTTTTTTCCTAATTTTTTCACGAAGGCCTTTTAGTACTTCAATGCACTAATTAGTCAACAGTCTGACCACTGATAACTAATCAGTCTTAATAGCCTGACTACAGAATATTAATTAGTTTAAACAGTCTGACCACTGATAACTACTTAGCCTTAACAGTCTGTCCACTAAGAATCACCACAGTCTTAGATTAACAGTCAGGCCATTAATGTGAGTAGGAACTCCCTCATACCACGAATTTCGGCTATGGTCTGTAATCGCTGACCTTGTGCACCTACGAGGTTCATCGTTTTCCGCACTGACCCCTTCCCCTGAAATTCTCTTATACCATTAAAACATATGTGCACTAGACAAAGTTTCATCTCCATAAGCCTCGGTTAATATTTTAAATGCTTTCGTGGCTGATTTCTTCACAAAAAACTTGATGATGAATCGACCTTTTTCCGGCAAATTACACTTGCACATGTTCACTCAATGAAGCAGTGCTCCCAACTGGCTCGATCGATTAAGACGAAACTGACCACATGGGTAGAGAAGGTGTGTGGAATGACGTCACCAAAACAGTTGCTGCCAACTCCACTCTTTTTTCAAACTACACACTTAGTCTCTTTTTTCCTGTGTCACACCTGGCATATCTTTCACATTATAAGCATGCAACAACCTAACCATTTTGTGAAGAATTCTTACCTAATTTGTTTGAGTTATTTGAAGTTCAAGTGATGCTTCACAAGTTGATTTAGAAGAACTTCGTTGAAACGATTGCTGAACATGCTCAGCAGTTGCTTCACCCTCACTAGGCCTGCACTTCTATGAATATCCTCAATGCAGCATTTTTATTTAACATACCATTGCTTTATTGATTCTTCACTAGCTGGTTTGCTTATATAAAAGCGTCGAAATTTACTATGAACATTAATGGGTGATTTCGTTTCGTGAGACCAAAGCACACATTGGGCATTCTCTGGAATAGACTCCATTTCTGCGAAGAATGATGTCTTTCATACAACTGTTTCCCCGAGTCAATCTCTTTTACAAAAAAGGGCAAGACTTTTGGTTTACCTTATAATATCAGAGAATGAATCGTTTTTGACCTAACTGTGTCTTAAAGTCGTTAATGAATATAAAAAAATATGTTTGTAACTTAAACGAAACTATGTAAATGTATGAAAAGGAATAATAAACAGAATTTTTATTTATTTATCTGACGCCCATGCTTGGTTTCTTGACCATTTGATGTCCAGCGGCCCAGTGCCGACTGACGATGTCGTCAGTCGGGTATTCATCGAGTCCAATGCATTGGAGAAAGTGGTCGCCATCCATTATGGCGTGAGTGAGTGAGTGAATGAGTCTAGGATTTTATGGTGCAAGAGCCAATTTTGGCTATACTGCGCCAAACGTCTGTCAAAAAACTTAAAATGTTTTATAATTTTTAACAAGTTAAAATGTTTTATAATGTTTTTAAGTTCATCCATTCTGGCATGGCCGCAGAGGTTGCAGGTCTCGTCAGTAGCCAGGCAAAACCAGTGGAGGTGTGACGAATCTTTACGGCACCTTTCTACTAATACTCTTAGGCGTCTTTGGGGGTTGTAAATTCGCGTATATTTCCAATCAGCCCTAAAAAAGAAGAAAATGGGATATGCAAAGCAGATAAGGCATTTAAGGAGAGCGTTGTAAGTTAGCGGAAAAGAAGGCGATTGAGCCAGCAGCAGTACTAGTGACGAGGTTTGGAAGATTCAATTGGATTACAATATTAGACTATTGCTGTTATTATTCAGCGATGTAGCCTTAGAAGGATTAATCTACCTGGAGAGATCGTCAGTACAGCCATATATTCTAACTTAGTACCTCTTACCACAATCGTTAATATAATAAAGTTAGTTGAATCTTAGTGAATGATAATAATTAAAGTTGTGTGTATTTCTCAAACCTCCTATTCCGGTAAACCCTTTCTATATTGAGCTTAGTAATTGATTAATTTCATATTTCGTAATTTAATTTAATAGTAAAGGTAAATCCCTTTTTGACGTAGGCATATAGTTGAATATTTGTAATTATAAGGTTGATATTTGAACTAAGTGAATAAATATAATTTGTTATTATACAAATGGCATCTGGTCATTCTTTGCATCAAGTTAATCTTAGTGTCCAGGGTGAAACCCATGGGGGGGGGGTTCTCAAAGAGGTATACTACCAATCATGTCCAGTGGTTAAATGAAAGCGGGTAACAGTCTCATCTCTCTCCAGGTGTCTCGAAGTTGAGCTCACAGTGGCCAAAGTTTCCCATGGCTTTCCGGGGTTTTTGGGTTACGGTAGTATATGTGTCGGTGAATGTGGGAAATAATGCTCTTTGCACACCTGAGAGTCAAGGAGACTTCCGGTTGAGTTGAGTCATCTCAACCACCAGAAGTCTCCTTTAGAAACAGACAAGAACGGGAAATATTTAAGGCATGGGCTAATAAGACTCAAACTCAGGGCTACAGTCTCTGAAAAAAGAGGGAGCTTGTCTCCATCTCGACTCGGCCTCAATTACATGATGGTCCAAATAAAATTTTAACCGTAAAATGTTATTCCTGGACATATTCTCCGGAAAACTGGGAAATTCGAACTATATGCAACATAGCAACAGTGACATGATTTTATTATTATAAAGGGTGTTTTTTTAGAGGTATAGAACTTTAAATTGCAATAAAACAACGATGTATTATTCGATTGACATGAATTTTTTTTATTCGAAAGATAATCTTGTGGCATTACATTTTAAATATGATTTCTGGCATATGACTGCCACGGTTGGCTCGGATGGAGTCTAATCTGGACGTCCATTTTCGATGACTTTTTCCAACATTTGTGGCCGTACATCGGCAATAACACGGCGAATGTTGTCTTCCAAATGGTCAAGCGTTTGTGGCGTATCCGCATAGACCCATGACTTTACACAGCCCCACAGAAAATAGTCTAGTGGTTTAAATCACAAGATCTTGGAGGCCAATTCACAGGTCCAAAACGTGAAATTAGGCGGTCACCAAACGTGTCTTTCAATAAATCGATTGTGGCACGAGCTGTGTGACATGTTGTGCCGTCTTGTTGGAACCACAGCTCCTGGACATCATGATTGTTCAATTCAGGAATGAAAAAGTTAGTAATCATGGCTCTATACCGATCACCATTGACTGTAACGTTGTGGCCTTCATCGGTTTTGAAGAAGTACGGACCAATGATTCCACCAGTCCATAAAGCGCACCAAACAGTCAGTTTTTCTGGATGTAATGGTGTTTCGACATACACTTGTGGATTAGCTTCACTCCAAATGCGGCAGTTTTGTTTGTTGACGTAGCCATTCAACCAGAAGTGCGCTTCATCGCTAAACAAAATTCGCTTATGAAAATCGGAACAACGGCAATCTCGTTTTGGGCCCATTCGACGAATCTACGCCTTGCTTGATGATCGTTTGGATGAATTGCCAAACCAAACTGAGAATAAATCATTTGACAGCTGTTAAATTGGTCGCCATCTTGGAAAGTAATGCCAACTTAAACTTCTATACCTGGGAAAAAAACACTCTTTAGAAAAAGAATACTATTTAAATAACTGAAGTACTTTGCGAATAATTCACACAAAACTAGTCAAAATATTTTTAATATTTCTCATATTTAAGAATACACAACGAAACTTCCAAATAACTATTACATCATTCATATAAAACGTAAATAATGCTACATAACTTCAAATTACATAATCGTATATTTTTTAAAAAATATTTTGTGATACAAATCATTCTTGTGCATTTCTTCAATGACAATCCAATGTATGGTTTGTACATTTATTTGTACTTGAAATGCCATTATTCTTTTATGCATTTGTAATCTGTTGAGTCTTTTAAAAACAATACAGCTTATATTTCACTCTTGGAACATTTTCTGAAAAGAGAAAAAAAACATCGTTGAACATATATGTTTAGATTCCATCACTATATTTAAAGATTATTTACTTATAAAAATAATTTCTGCAAAAAAAAAGTTACAATAATTCAATTGGATAATCTGGCAGATGAAATTATTTATATTTAGCTAGGTATCATTATTTTGGATTTGCTTATAATGTTAATATTTCCCGAGAGATTTCTGATTACACCAGTCCCATATCAAAGTCATTACATTTAATTGGTAATAATTAAAAGTAATATAAAGATGTTTTTTTTAAGTCAGTTCCTCGGTCAACAAAGAAAAAATATTATTGTAGTTACTTTTTATTAAATAAGTATAATTAATATAAATATGTATGTACATATGACAGAATCACAATATTAAGTGGCAAAATAGAAAACGATTTTCCTTTCCATATAGAGTGTGTGTGTTGGGCTATTATTTTATCCATTCATAAATCACATTCTCAGAAATAAGGTCATGCCATGTAGGATTCGAACTTACAACTTTTGAATTAGAAGTCCAACGCGCAGTCCATTGCACTACAGGCACACAATGAGCAATCTTTTTTATGTATTCTGTTGAACTATTATTTTTGTTTATTACTATTCATTCATTAATTAGGTATAGCTAATGAAACTAATATTTTAAAAACCTGTTTTAACATAAAATGTCATCCACTACAAGTTTAAAAAAATGTCTTTCAACTTAAGTGGATGAATAAAGTTTTTTATTAACGATTGAAACCTTGAACAAAAGATATATATATATGTATATATTGTGAGATTATTAACTAAGAGTAGAGGAATTGAAAAAAGCACTTAATGAAGAATTTGGAAGCTTTTGTTACTTATTTTTATTTCAATACTTGAAACCATAGCTCTTTAGTTATTTTAGATGTTATCTTGTAAATTCTTTTGGAATTTTGACAACTATACAGAAAGGCATTTACGATAGGTATACAAGTAGATTATATAGTGAGGAAAGATCTTCAGATTTTGAGCATTTTCACAAAAACAGCCATTTGTTTGAGAAATGGACAAAAAGCCATTTTTTGGGGCTGTTTTAACGAATCTTAAGAATTATTTTGTTTACAAAAACAACAATCAAAATAATCCTCTCATGCATTATGACTAAACGCAAATTATGATACTTTTCTTACAGCTTTCGATATTGCATTTAGTAGTTAAATTCTATTCGTTCATTCTAGAAAATGAAATCTAATTATTCTCTCTACAGTTAAGAGTAATCATATGGTCTTTCGGCATAAAATGTTGAAATTGGTGTACTTGTTTGGCAAGGTTATTTGAACTGTCCACCTGCGTGGTCAAAAGATGACTCCGTGTACGTGATAGATGAATGGGGAACGAAAATAAATACCCATTAGGGAGGGTTGCTTAGTGCTTTTATTTCTGTCATTTTGCTGTTTGCGATTTATGGAAGAAGAGGATCCTTGCTGTCTTTTATCCTCTCTTTGGTGAAAATTTTCGAAACACTTAATATTTTCATTTGATAACTTATGCATTTAAGGTAAAAAAAAGGCTTTATATTGTTGTTTTTACGATATCAAGCTGCAAAGTTACAGAATAATTAATAAACAAGAAATAAAGTTTTCAAAATCGGAAGTCAGCATTTTAAGGTATCCGACTACGTTCGGAACCGTGATTTAAGAAAAGAGCATAAATGGATAATTTTCATAATATTCAGTGTCACTTGGATTAGAATACATGTATGAAATTGTTTTAAGGACATTTTGACAAAAACAAATTATTTAAGTACAATATTTAGGCAAAAAATGGACTTAGAATAACCTTTTTCAAATTGTTCTCCTTTTGTGAAAAAGCTTCTATTATAATACTATTTTGCCTGTATATAGCTCAAAACTCTGTACAGTGGCTCAACTATTATTTTTGAAAAATTCACAATACTTTCAGAGCTACAAACAATTGAAATAATTATTTTTTTCTTAAAATTTCTCCCCTGTCTTGTAAAACATGGATAAACTCACTTCTAAGTTATATGTTTCAAAAATTCTATTTGAGCCTCTGTACAGAGGTCTGAGCTATATGCAGGCAAAATATTTATAATAGAAACATTTTTCACAAAAGGAGAATATTTTGAAAATGGGTCATTCTATGTTCATTTTTTGTCAAAATATTGAACTTAAATAATTTTTTATTGTAATACTATTCCTAAAACAATTTTATATACACTTCCCAATCTAAATGACACTAAATATCATAAATATTATCCATTTACACGCTTTTGCAAAATCACGGTTCCGAACGTAGTCGGATACCTTAAAATAAAATCAAAGAGAGAAAACAGTCACGAAGCTTGAATGTATAAATCATATACAAAGAAAGAGTAAAACGGCGTCTTAGGTAATTATAATATATGAAAAAATGAGATGGATAGGAGAAATTAAAAGATCTATATGAACTATAGAGCTATATAATGACTTCGCTTTCCGTAGCAATGTTGAATGCGATAGATGATGTAATTTGCTGTAATATCTTTCTTACGCTGCAGCTCTAGCCATTAAAACTCCATGCATCGGCAGTGTCCAATAAGGAAAGACAGCTGATGTAGATATATACTGAATTATCACTGAATTAGGGATAGCAAGGTTGTCTAGCGCTGTGCATCATTTATGTGAGTGCATTTATTCAAGTGAGAGCGCTGTGATAACTACATACACAGCTTGTACTGTGGTTGTTCTGAATTAGTTTTTGGAATTTCCAGTATGGGTAAACAGCCTGATTTAGCCGCCTTCGATCACGAACAAAACGTAGGTGAACGAGGCATGGGGTATTCAATTCCCGTAATGATCAGACAGCTGGATTTTCACAGTTGACAGCGTCAAGAGTATACCAATAATACATGGATGGTAGACAAAAAATTAGCGATCAGGCTAACTGCAAAGGACAATTAACCTTGACAGTGCGTGGTGAGAGGCGGCTCAGGCGTATTATACGTAGCCAGCGAAGCCAAACATTAGCTCAAACTACCACCCAGTTGAATGACGGAGCCAGTCGTACATTCAGTAAGCGAACTGTGCAACGCTCGCTTTACCGTATGGATTTCGGGACCGTCGAGAATACCATTGCTCAATGCTCGCCATCGGGATGCACGTCTTGGATGGACAAGAGAACACAAAGATTGGAGTGTAGATGACTGGAAATGAATAGCATGAAGTGATGAGTATCGATTCCGACTATTTAACGCTGACAAGAGGCTGAGAATATGGCGTCAGACTCATAAAGCCATGGATCCTGCATGCTAGGTTGGAACGGTACAAGGGCATGGTGGCTTAATCATGGTCTGGGATTTTTTTCATGGCTCTATTTGGGATCTTTGGTGCGTGTGCCAACCTCCCTCAATGCAATTCGGTACGTAGAGTTCCTGGGTAATCACCTACATTCGTTTATGCTGTTCTGTTATCCGCACGGTAATGGAGTTTTCCTGCAATACAACTGTCTTTCTCACAAGTCCCGGTTGGCTAATGGCTGGTTTGATGAGCATTCCTCTGACTTTTCTATCATAAATTGGCCACCTAGAAGCCCAGACTTGCCCTATTGAGCATTTTTTGGATGTTTGGGACCAATCCGTGAAAGGCCATCAAACAGCATCGACGAACCTTACTAAATTATGGACAGCCTTAACCCATATTTGGCTAGTCATTTCAGCGTGAACGTTTCCAGAAACTTGTTGAATCTATACCTCGTCGTGTGGCAACCGTTATCAAGACCAGAAGGGGCCCAACCTTTTACTAGGTAGGTATCCCTAATTCAGTGGCACTTCAGTGTAAATAAGCTTTATGGAACGAAAAAGCTTATGCGGAAAAATCAGCACAGGCCTTCCCAATGTGTCAATAAAGTGATAAAGCCCACTTACTTATCACTATGTAATTAAGAGTTGCTAAAAATGTGTATACATGGCATGGCACAAAAATAAAGTTTCAATGTCTTACTGTTAATTTCACCAAAAGAAAAAAAACTTTTGTCTATCAGAATACTTTATTTTTTTAAGTGCACATAATGCAGTTATATTGTTTAATTCAGAATATTTAGGACTGTTGCATGTTTTTTTTAAAAAATTATTTAGAAATATTGTCTGAGAGTGTGACACTAAATTGACAAAGAGCGAATTTTGAAATCAAAATGTCAATTTTAATCTTCTATAAAACACTCATAAAAAGCTAAAAGCTAAAGAAAAAAATTAGTTTAAGAAAAGGAGCTATAAATATGGTAGAGTTTTAAGAATGTACAGTAGATACACACAATATGTTTAACTTTATATTAAAGTTTTTAAATGTGCTTTCTGGAAAATTGTTTTTAAATATTTTGCTTTACAATGAGCTTCGCTACAAAAATTCATTTTAAGAATTAAAATCTAATCTCCCTATATATAACTTATTGACCTTTTAAAAAATAACATTAGAATTTTTTTTTTTCTCACTCTTTTTCCTTCTTAGTGAGCTTTCGCATAAAATGTGGAATATTACGAATCGTTTAGTCAAGAACATAGATCAAGATTTTACTTATGTACTGTTAAGTTAATTATTTAAATATTAGGTTGGTGAAAAAGAAATCCATTATTTTTTCGGTAGATGGCTGTATTGTCGATATCTCGTGAAGTATCAATCAAAGAATTTCAAATTTATGCTCGCTGTTAAGGTGACATTTCGCACTAAAAAATTATTTTGCTGCTTTTTGTTTGGTTCATTCAGTTGTGAGTTACGGGTGTTAAAAATGGAAGTCAACAAAGAGAAAATTCGGTACATTTTACAGTTTTTCGTTGATAAAGGAGAAAATTCAAGCCAGGTGATTGAAATTATGAATGGTGTTTGTAATGCTGTAACAGCTAATTACGTGGAATTTTGGTTTCGTCGATTCCGTTCAGGCATTTTTGATGTTAAAGATGCACCTCGCACAGGCAGGACCATCGTCGAAAAGGTCGATAAAATCACAGAAATAATCGAAGTTGACCAGCATGTTGGTTGTCATTGCACCGCCCAGAAGCTAGCTGAAGATAGACCATAAAACAGTTTTAAGCAATTTTCCCAAAGTTGAATTCAAAAAGAAGGTCGATGTTTGGGTGCAACACCAATTAACACCAAAAAAACAGAATGACCAAATTTCCATCTGTGAAGCCTTGGCCAAACGGAACGAAATCAACCTTTTTCTTAAATGGATGGTGATTGGGGATGAGAAATGGGTTACATCTACGATAATATTGTGTGAATAATATTGGTCAAAGCACAGTGAAGCAGCTCAAACGATGGACAAGCCAGGACTAAAGGCCAGGAAGGTTCTACTGTGTATTTGGTGGAGCTGGAAAGGAATCGTTTATTATGAGTTGCTTCCGTATGGCAAAACACTAAATTCATATCTCAATTGTCAACAACTGGGCTATTTGAAGCTAGTGATTGACCAGAAACGGCCAGAATTGGTCAACAGAAGAGGTGTTGTGTTCCATCAGGACAACGCCAAGCCACATACGTCTGTAGTGACTCACCAAAAACTCTGAGAGTATGGTTGGGAAGTTTT